GCCCAGGTGGCGCTCCGGAGGCAGCAGGCCACGGAGGTGCGTACCCGCCGGGCCGCCCGGCCGCCGTGGGGGTCGAGGAGCGCGAGGGAGAAGGCTGCTCCCCACACACCCGGGCCCGGGCCTCGAGCGCCCGGCGCGCCCTCGGACGTGTGGTGAGAGCACTTCTCTCCCCGCGGTGTCGCGCAGGGTCGGGAGGGAGCGCGTCCCGGGCGTCGCTGGGGAACTTTGTAGAAAAGGTTTTCTGTTAAAAATAGAGGAGCCCTGAAAATGCTTAGGCCCGCGCGGGACATTAGGGGAAAGGCGTTTTCTTTTTGTCTTTTATATTTTAAATTTTATTTCGATGGTGCTGGGGGGAGGGTTAGAGCGGAGGACGCGGCCCCGGCGGCGGTCGCTCCGCTCGGCGCCGCGCTCGCGCTGATCACAAAGAGCAGCGCGCGGGGCGCAGGGTGCTTCCGCCGACCCGGCCATTTAACGCAGGCCGAACGCGGTGCCCATTTTACAGATGAGGCCGGAAGGGGCGTACGAAGTTAGGTCAAGATCGGGCAGCCAGAAGCTTCTATCCCGAGAGCTACCTAAAAGCCGGCGGGGGGTGGGGGGGTGTCTGCCGCCGGTCTTCGAGGGGCCCCGGCTGTGAGGAGAGCCCGGGTTTTCTTTAAGGAGAGGCGCTTCTTGAACGTCCAACGTGATATTTCCACGTGCTCCTGCACCTGGGGAGCTCAGGGCGGGGGAAGATTTTTTATTTTACTTTTTGGCGAGGAGGCGCTGGGGAGTGGATCACCGTACACACCGAAAATAGTGACCCTCATGGAAAGCGGCCTTCCTAGGGCCCCGGGGAGTGCGCGCTGGAACCCGAGGTGGCCGTGGTCAGGGCTCGGACTCAGCCTCCTCGGCGGCCGGTGTTGCACCGCGCGGGCCCTGCGTTTCCTCGCCTTGGCGGCCTGCTGGGCTGGTCGGGGTGTAGAAGGACCCAGAAGCCTACCCACCTGGCGGTGGCGGCGGGAGCAGGGTCTCGTCGTGGAGCAAGGTCTCCTTGTGCCGCGTCCCTCGCGGCTCCAGAGGTTTCGTTTGCCTTCTTGAGCCCCAGTCACCCAATCCGGAGTTTTCGGCCAGACCAGGGAGAGCCTGAGAGATACACACCCTCGTATGTGCCTCATGCTCCTGCACCTGTCCCACCGGTCCTGTGGCGGAGAAACCAGCCCCAGGTCACTGCCCGATGGCAGGCCTTGGGTACCTTTCGCGCTACCTTTGGGCGCTGAGGACGCGGTACTCTTTCAGTGCCGGGCTCCCACCGTCTGCTCCACCGTGGATTTCCTTTCTCCGGGATGTCCCCCCACTTCTGGCTGCTGGGTGTATCTGGGATGACCCTAGCAAAACAGCCCCAGAGGAAGCGGCGGTCCAACTCACCAGTGGGTGGCCTGAATTAAGGAGTACTAATATTAAGTCGTCTGGAGTCGTTTTCACATGGGATAGGAAAAATAAGTACATTTAGACGGGGAGGGTTGTTGACACCCTTTCGTTCTGGTTTCTCTCCCACGTTTTCTTTCATGGCTTTATTGATTATGTTTCTTGTATTTACAGGACAAGAAGGGGCTTTCCGGGAAACAGAATAATTTCGAGCGCAAAGCTGTGTATCAGAGGCAAGTGAGGGCACCCAGTTTGCTGGCCAAAAGTATTTTAGAAGGTAAAGCAACGTGAAATCATCCCTTTAGCCTTTGAAACCAGGTCCTGAGCAATTCTCCTAATTCTGGCTGTGTGGTATTTTTATTAACCTCTGGAGGAGGAATCTGAGGGGAACGCACCTTTTATTAGAAGGTTTTGCTCTAGGAAGGAAATCAGGGCGTGGGAAAATAAATCTCACACACCTCCTGTTGTTTTTGTGACTGGTAATTTTGTTGTCTGCTTAAGAGTGACTGGGTTAGCATGGTGTGCATGTGAAATTTGCCCTAGTGCGAGTGGTATACAGATACACTGCCAAGTGATCCCGGAGCAGATGTCCTGGAAAGAAATTAATTTAAAACAATTATTTAGTTGCTGGAGCTAAATAGAGTAGTCAAGTGAGGAGTTTAACAGCTACCCACACGAACAAAGACATCTAGTCTGGGCCATCCAACCGCTAATCCCACTCTTTTTCATTTTACTATTTCCCCTGGATTATCTCTAATTGTGGCTATTCCACACTTTATTTTATTGTTTTGATAGTTGAGATTGTAGAATCAAACAAGCAAAGTTGAGGTTGAATTTAAACTGTGTGAAATTTCTAATTCCATGTTTCCACTTTCTCTAAAGCCCGGGGATACATTCATTTTTCTTAAAATATTACGATTTTTCAAAGCATCTCTATCTGGGCGTGGAATTTATTTATTGATCTGATAAATAATGTATTGACTGCCTTTCACTATTTAAGGGGGAAAAAAGTTTACTTTTGCTCTGATTACTTTCGCTTCAGAAGAGTCAAATTGAAAAGCAAAAAAAGTTTTTTTTTTTTTCAAAGTAGACATTTGAATTTTGTTTTTTCTGTTGTGGCTTCTGAATTGAGCTTGTTCTGGACAGGCTTTAAAAAGTTGGTTTGTGTCTTCTTACCCTGTGCTGTGTGCTTCTGACCTTAGAATGGGTTTCTGAAGCATTAAAAGTGAATTTGATTACGAACTGGGTGAACAGATGTATAACCATAGGGACCACACTGATAAGTTGAAATTGTGCCAGTGCAACTTGAGAAGTGGACGGATGAAGTGGAATAGTAAATTTAAGTAAATAACTTCCTGGCAAAAACTTACTATAGGAAAGGAAACACTAATTTTCAAATTTTATTTGCAAATCAGTGTGATGGGCTTGTCACTATGTAAACACAAACATTACAATGGATCCTTCAAACAAATTTGGTAGTTGTGAGTGCTTGGGGAGAATATTTTATGACACCAGGAATCCTGTGTATGTGGTGATACTTATCTTTGTTTTTGACTCCATACAGTGAGCAATGACTTAATCTACGTTCTAATGATTGCTTGTTGGACCATGTGGGTATCTCGCCAACATGATTAGTGTTTGGGAAAAATGTATTAGAGTGGTTATTTTCAATATGGCAGGGGATCTCCGTGCAGGGCCCCCACTTTTGTTTGTTTGTACTAGTTGTGAGGGGTAGCAGCCTGGTTCTCAGTGTTCACTGCAGAATCTGTTTGACTAGTTAACAGCGCTTCTTAGTTTCCTGTGTTTCTCTGCTTCCTTATGTCTTTTCTGTTTTTTCCCCTCACTAATCTGCTTTAACTTTCTCTTTTTTCCTAGTTCTCCTTGGATTACTCTCCAACTGTAACAATGTACATAATGAGCCATCTTTAGAAAATAAAAGTGACATCAGCTCTAGGTATAGATATCTTTTTTAATAATGGAAAAAGATGACATAGATAGTAATAAATCATTGATTGAAGTAAGATCAGCAGCCTTGTCTCTTAATGTGTAGGAGCCTGGGAAGAATATTAAAATTTCAGCCAGCAAAGTACACTTGTCAAAGTAAACAAACACACTTATAACTACAAAAACAACAAAAACAGAAAGTTACAACATGCATATCCTTTCCCCCAAAGGGAACAATTTTAAATTGAACCAATACTTTTGCTTTCTGTATAAAAATGTTAGTGATATAGAACTGTAAACACTTGTTCTGCCAATGTGCAGGGTTTCTGTTACCTTTTGGGTTTCCAGTTTTTTCTTCCCAGATGTTAATCTCTTTCATGTGCAATGCTTGCTTATTCTAGGCTACCGCCCCATTCCAGCAGAGACTTATGTGGGAGGGAGCTTACCTCTACCTCCCCCAGTAAGTGATCGGATGAGGAAGAGGCGGGCCTTTGCTGATAAAGAGTTGGAGAACATTATGCTGGAGAGAGAATATAAAGAGAGGGAGATGTTGGAAGCTTCCCAAGCTGCTGCCTTGTTCCTGCCCAACCGCATGGTGCATGGACCTGAATACAACTCCTACAAAAGTGCCTACAGCCCCACCCCAGTGGAACAGCCAAGCAAAGACTTCTGTAATTTTTTGCCCACCTGCCTTGATCTAACCATGCAGTATTCAGGGTCTGGGAATATGGAACTAATTTCTTCTAATGTCAGTGTGGCCACGACTTACAGACAGTATCCCTTGTCCTCAAGATTTTTAGTTTGGCCCAAGTGCGGCCCCATTAGTGACACTCTCCTCTACCAGCAGTGCCTGCTAAACACCACCACCTCAGTTCAAGCCCTGAAACCTGGGGCCAGCTGGGACTTGAAGGGAGTACAAGTCCAGGATGGACTCGCTGCAGAACATGACATGATGCCACCCAAATTGGAAGGCTCTCTGGTGCTGCCTCACACTCCTGAGGTCCAGACCTCAAGAAGTGACCTTCAGGGTCACCAGGCTGTCCCTGAAAGGTCTGCATTCTCCCCACCCCGACGGAATTTCTCTCCAGTTGTTGACACGGACTCCGTGGCAGCTCAAGGGCACATCTTAACCAAGATCAGCAAAGAAAGCACGAGGCACCCTCTGCCACTTAAACATAATCCATTCCACTCATTATTCCAGCAAACTCTTAATGACAAATCAGGTCCTGAGTTGAAAACACCATTTGTCAAAGAGGCCTTTGAAGAGGCCCCTAAGAAACACAGAGAGTGTTTAGTCAAGGAGAACCAGAAGTACACATTTACAATAGATAGATGCGCAAAAGACCTTTTTGTAGCCAAACAAGTTGGAACAAAACTCTCGGTGAATGAACCGCTGTCATTTTCTGTTGAGTCTATTCTCAAGAGGCCTTCATCTGCCATCACTCACCTCTCTCAGTGAAAGCCTGCTGAAATGGAAAGCTGGATTTCCTGCAGTCTCAGAGGGTTCTTACCAGTTGCTAATTTTTTTTGAAAGGAAAAAGTTAAGATGTTTGTATAAAGAAATTTCTAATGTAAATGATGGCGATTAAAAGATTTATATTCATATGCATGTACTTCTCACCACATATTTAAACTTAAAGATGGAATTGCTTATGTGCAAATTGTAAAGTTCCACACTTTACACATTATTTCAAAAAGCAATAAAATTGACACTCTTGTAAAAGACCCAGTATTTGCTGAAGTAAATAGTTGTCTCTGTCTAGGTGAAAAAGCTAATTTCTGTGAAATATGATCTTTATTTTTCTATGATTCTTTGTATTTTCAAGTGCTCTTAATGATCACTGGGGGGCCAGAGGAGAACCCTTATAATGCCTTAGTTTTTGCATTTTGGAGGGCATGTAAATTTAGTTATTCAAGACTGAGGCAAAAATAGCTTTATGGAGAACACAGGGAAGACTTGCATGTTTATAGAAGTGTAATTTCCTGTAATTGGACAAAGTTGAATTAAATGGAAGAGAAAGCAAGTTTAATATATTGTTCATAAGATGACATGAGTTCTTGAAATGGATCTCTTAACTCTCTGGGTCCCAGTGTCCTTCCCTGTGGAGATGTGTATGTAGGGCCTCAAGCTTCCTTTCTCAATTGAACCTTCATTCTGTGATTTTGGGGTTGCCAGGAGCCCAGAGCAGGTTGCCTTGTAAGGTGCAGTCAGTTTAAACCATGATGGTACATGGTTGAACCCTCTCCCAGTTCTTGTGTTACTTCTGTTTCCTAAGGAATGGTGACAGCAGGCACTTAGAGGCAGGTCCGGGACTCTCAACTGGTCCACGGTGTATCACATTTTCACCAGTATGGAAGATATTCTGTGTAGCTCTTTGCTGAGTTAAAAGCTTTTACTATTCAAATCACTTCAACTGCCAGTTGGTGAAGGCATCAGATGTTTATCACAGCATTGGGGGTGGCTTCTAGATTCTTAAACCTTTCCCCTCTGATTTTTCAATTCATTATTACCCTCTTGTTTTGCTAAAAAATGTTAACTGTTATTATTATATATGGTTGATAAAGTAAGAGTAGGATATTTGTGAGAGTATTAAATTTATCTCTGAAGATCTCATCTGTGAACCCCAAGTTAATTTCTAAGATGTTATAGTCATTTAAACACAGAAAATCAAAAGCCAAGTATCTCACCTTTTAATTTTGCTGTGGAGTGAATTTACTTTCAGCTCTGCTCTCATTTGGATAACAAGAACATTAGGTGGGTGTTTGGAGTGTGCCAAGAAATTCGGCAGTTTAAAGAGTTTCTTGCTCTGGAAAACATTTAAAATTATTTAAAAATGATTTTGCTACTGATGAGCTCATGTAAATCTCTAGGGGGTTCTTGGAATTGTTGCTTAAAATTAGCATCAGTTTCAAAAACAACAAGCCAAACCTTAGGTTGATTTTCAGTTTGTATTTGTAATATAATACTTGGTTTTGTTGAGTCAAATTTACTTATTTTTTACTATTGCAAAAGCCAGAGCAAATGGAAGTTTGCCAGCGGAAAAGAAAATGAAAGCAGGCAGAGATCCCAATAACTTGAAGATTATCATTAAGTGGAAAAATGATTTCCAGCCACAGATGCCCTGGTGTCAGAGACAGAATCTCACTGCAGCCATCCTCCCCCTGCCCCCTCCCCGTCATCTTTGCTTTATAAAGTTACTATTTTTTGTCTTCCTATCAGGTATTTATTTTCTTGTCAAGTGTTAAATGTAAACAGCCTTGAAATCTAACTGCTGCAGGGTAATGGGGAGAATAAACCCACCTAAGAAACTCTCAAGGAGAAGACCTGAATCCAAACAGGGATTTTCTCTCTCTCTTACTCTGTACATTTGTCAGTTATGTCCTTCCTGTGTTCAATGAACATTTTGGGATGTCTCTTCTGTCCTCTGTCATTTTCATCTCATTAGGTGAATCCAGTTGGCTGTGGGTATAAGTGATTTTCTTCACACTACCATTGGCTGGAAGTTTATTGTTCTTGAACATTTATGAGGGGGTCAGTACTTTCCTTGGTGAACTTACCATACTATGCATTAATTCTGTAATGGTGAGTGCTCTGAATTTCAAACCCACCACCGCTATTGTCAGCCACTCGAGGAGAGTTTTGTGCTTGGCTCTTTATTTTTTTTCACCATTTTACATCTCTAAAAACTGCTATTTGACTATAAAGAGTCTTCAAAGGGCACTGTAGACATATTACATCAAAGTTGTGCTTCAACTTAAGTGTTTTCTATATTCAAGGCAATAAATGGATGTGGCTTGAATCATTTTGTTTAAACATGGGCCCTTTTCTCCATCTAACTCAATACAATAATGCAGTTTTAATGACATTATTTTCCTCCCATCTCAACTGATCTAGCATTATCTTTTGCTCAGTTTGTAGTTCTGTATAGTTAATAGTAGTTAATAGTTAATTTTACAAGCTTCCTTTCTTCTAACCCTTTGGTAGCAGAAGTAGGAAAAAACCTAGGCAAAATCATAAAATAGAAACATTGCTCCCTTCTCTCTCTCTTTAAAGCTAGTTCTTAAATTTGGTAATATAATACATAGTTTTAATTATGGTAAAATCCAAATAACATTTACCATCTTAACTAGTTTTAAGTGTACAGTTCAGTGACAGTACATTCACACTGATGTGCAGTATTCACTACCATCCATTCACAGAACTCTTCTCATCTTGTAAAACTGAAACTCTGCACTCATTAAACAGGAACTCCTCCCTCCAGTCCCTGGCAACTTTCCTGTCTATGAATGTACTCTAGGTAGCTCATATAAGTGGAGTCAGACTGCATTTGTCCTTTTGCAATGGGCATATTTCACTTAGAATAATGTCTTCAAGGTTCATTCATGTTGTAGCATGTTTCAGAACTTCCTTTTAAAGACTGAATAATATGCCATTGCATGTCCATATCACGTTTTGTTTGTCCACTCATCCACTGGGTTGCTTTCACCTTTTGGCTACTGTGAAGGACTCTGCTGAGAAGATGGGTATACAAATATCTCCTCACCTAGTCCTCCCTCCCAGTTTCATTTTCCTCCCATCTTAGGAACTCACCTTTCTCAAGTCTCCACATCCCTCCCACACTCTGCCCCTCCCCGCAGTGTGGGCCACCCTCACCCCTCACCCAGGCAACGCCACTTTGCCCAGGGACGCTCCAAGATCAGCCCTGCACCTTTTAATGTGAGTTTGAGTGTGTTCACGTCATGTGCATTTAAAAGCTTAATTCTGATTGCGGAATGAAAGACTTGTGCTAACGTGTAGTAAGAAACTTTCTGGAATTCCTACTGCAAAGTCTTAGCAGCACCGAAGAGCAAAGAAATGGCTGAAAGTCAAGATAAAGAAAGAAGGAGAATCCACAGTCCCCTGTAGAATAATAAAGACGTGACTTAGTATTGAGGTTGGGTTTTTCAGTCGGTACTAGAATTCTTGCTGCCCCACCTGATTTTACTTATTTCTGGATTAGTGTTTTTTGTTCCTATTCTAGGTCTGGATGCTCAGGCTAGTTTTCTTCTGTGGTCCAATACGTAGGGCTGATAGTTCTTGAGATGCCTAGATGCTGCAATATATAAACTTGGGTTTGTGGTACCCACTTATATTTAAGTGACTGTACCAAGGCTTTTATCGTATCTCCCCCCCTTAGTTATTTTGGTTTTTAACTTGTTATATCTAGACACATTTAGGGCATGCTAGACAGAGACACCTGAAATAGGTTGGCATCTGATATACTGATAAATGTGTCATAATAATAATAAACATGTGGTTAGTGCCTGCTACTTTACAAAACGCATTCATGTTGATTGCTTTTCTCATATAAATTCTATATAAAATTGGCAAATGGCCATATTAAGAATTGAATCTACATCTCTCTGTGTGTACCTGGGAGATTTCTTTCCAATATATATGACTTGATATGGCCTAATCCATCTGTAAGAGTTTGTATGTAAATGTTAAGTATACCAAATGCTTATATATAATATATATGTGATAAGCTACACATGTATATTGTTACCTATATGACTACATGTGTCTCTATGTAAAAACTTAATTTCATAAAGCAACACACACACACACACACACACATACATACACAAACACAATCTCATGGAGTTATGAGAACAATTGAGAGAAATAATGAGAAAGGACCTGCTGGGGAAGGACAACTGACTGACAGTCCCAGCTGTCACACCTTTGGATCCACTGTGGTGTTTATACCAAGGCCACACTTTCCCCAGACTGCTTCCAGTAGAGCAGGATGGATAGAATGGGAACCCTCTAACAGGCATCCTTGGCTGGGGAACTCCCCATCCAAGTATTTTGTTATGGATGTTTTAGGAGCCTAAAAACAAGTACCACCATAGTATGCCTGGAGTTCAATCAAGAAATCAGACAAAGGAGTTGGTATTTGGAGATTAGAATGTACCTTACCTAACTCTATCACTGATTATGATTATATTAGAGAATGACATATCCAGGAGCAAGAGGACTTCTTGGATTAATCTCTTAACACTAACCCCCAGAATTGGTCTCTAATACTAAACCCCAGAATTAAATAGATGTAGCCACCTAGAAACAATCTGCACTGGCCTACCACACCTCCCCTGCATGCAGAGGATGATGGAGTGTTTCTATTCTCTGCATGCAGGTTTGTTCTTGAAATAAAGGGGAGAGGAATAGGCAGAGCTATTCATGCCTCTTTCCCTATTCCAAACTCACCAGTCAGGTAAGTTGTTCTCCCTCCACCCTTTGAATAACATAATTTTTAAATTATTTCTTTGTTTTGAATTGAAATAAATCCAAAGACTGAAGACTGTGTACCTTTTTCTTTTTTTTTTTTTTAAAGAACAAAAACGAAAACTGGAGGGATGACTTCATTTACCCCAGATGGAATTAAGACATTAAGTATAACATGCTGGCAAGTACAGAAGTATTATTTCACTGATGAGTATACCATTTGATATTATTAAGTGGCATGACCCAAGGGGACTGTACTTCTATCAGTCATCACCAAATTGTTGCCATGGGGTGTTATCGTAAAAAGTTATTGTAGGAAGGTACCTGAGATGTTGTGAAAGTATCAAACCAAGCTGATATTTCCTCTTTTGATAGAGTTACTAGAGAGGTATCAGGGAGGGGAATGCTAAAGACAAGGTACGTCTCAATTCAGCAAGGCATTTAACAAAGTTTTTCA